AGAGCCCCCCCCACCAAGGGTCCCTGAGCAAGACCGGCAGAGGCCTGGAGTCCAGGCTGGCCCTGCCCCGGGACTCTCGGATAGCCTGCCCATCCAGGCCTGGCCTCCTGCAGGGAAAACGTTGGAAAGTGAGGCTGGTCCAGAGAGGACCTCATACATCTGGTCCTCGACTTAACGACAGTTCGTTTAGTGACAGTTCAAAGTTACAACGGGACTGAAAAAAGTGACTTGTGACTGTTTTCCACACCACCCTCACAACCTCCCCATGGTCACGTGATCAAAATTCAAATGCTTCGCAACTGCCTCGTACTTATGACAGTTGTAGTGTCCACGTGGCCACCTTAGAGAAGCAACTTGTAATTGAGGAGAAACTTCCTGATAGGGAGGACAATCAATCAGTGGAACAGCTGGCCTCCAGAAGTCGTGGGCCCTCCATCACTGGAGGTTTTTAAGAAGAGACTGGACAGTCACCTGTCTGAGATGGTAAAGGTTCTCCTGTTTGAGCAGGGGGCTGGACTAGAAGACCTCCAAGGTCCCATCCAGATTCTATTCTATTCTATTCTAATAATAATAATAATAATAATAAAAAAGTTGGAAGGGATCTTGGAGGTCATCTAGTCCAACCCCCTGCTCAGGCAGGAAACCCTATACCATTTCAGACAAATGGCTGTCCAGTCTCTTCTTAAAAACGTCCAGTGTTGGAGCATTCACCGCTTCTGGAGGCAAGGAGTTCCACTGGTTAATTGTTCTCACTGTCAGGAAGTTTCTCCTTAGTTCCAGGTTGCTTCTTTCCTTGATGAGTTTCCATCCGTTGCTTCTTGTCCTGCCTTCAGGCGCTTTGGAGAATAGCTTGACTCCCTCTTCTTTGGGGCAGCCCCTGAGATACTGGAACTCTGCTATCATGTCCCCCCTCGTCCTTCTCTTCATTAAACTAGACAGACCCAATTCCAGCAGCCGTTCCTTTTATGTTTTAGCCTCCAGTCCCCTGATCCTCTTTGTTGCTCTTCTCTGTACTCTTTGTAGAGTCTCAGCATCTTTTTTACATCGTGGTGACCAAAACTGGATGTGGTATTTCAAGTGTGGCCTTACCAAGGCCTTGTAAAGTTCTATTCTATTCTATTCTATTCTATTCTATTCTATTCTATTCTATTCTATTCTATTCTATACTATTTCTATTCTATTCCATTCCATTCCATTCCATTCTATTTCTATTCTGACAAGCAAAGTCAAACGGGGAATCCAGATTCACTTAACGACCATGTGACTAATTTAACATCTGCACTGATTCATTTAACAACTGTGGCAAGAAAAGTTGTAAAATGGGGCAAAATTCTCTTTTCTTCACTTAGCAACGTGAAGTTTGGGCTCCGTTGTGGGGACTACCTGTGGCTCCCAGTGTAAGTGACTGAAGGGTTGCTGGGGGGAGGAGGGTGGAGGGAACCCTCCTTCCGGCTCTTCCTTCCCAGCAGCTGCCCACCCGAGGGTCAAGCGGCCCCCTGGGAGCCTGGCCGTTCCAGGCTGGATTGGGGTCACCAAAGAGCTTCTCCCTCCTCCTCCTCCTCTTAAAATCCTCTGGACTCGCTCTGGGCCCCTCAGAGGCAGGATTTCAATTCCCTGGCAGGGCCTGACCCTCCCTCCCTCCCCCCCTGCCTGTTTCTCAGGAGATTTTGTGATTTAGTGCGGGGGGGGGGGGGG